TCTCTCTCTCTCTCTCTCTCTCTCTCTCTCTCTCTTTCTCTCTTTCCCTTCTCAATTTCTCCGTTCTACCTTTTAACAACTTTATATATTTTAAATATGAAGTAACGTATATTAAGAAGTATTATTTGTGTTGTTCTGCTTGTTCGCTACACTTGAGATTTTCTCGCTGTCCAGTCTTCTTCCTTATTGTAGCACTTGACTCTATACTGTCCACTACTTCGTTCATTCTCTCTTTCTTAAACAATTTAACCTTTTCACATACTATTTATGAATTTGATTTTTTCATAAACTATATCAATTATTTCATTTGTATCTTCATATTAGATTATTCAAGATAAGTATCTCTTCTTCTCCCTAATAAGGATGATATAACTCCGTTTCACAGTTTTGTTTCAGTTACGTATCCCAAACCAAATACATATAAGCTGAAACATCAATACAATTATATGCATTGATGGTATAGAAGAATATTTTTGTCTCTTTCTCTTCCTACTAAACTACCTCTCAAAAGCTTTTTAATCAAAAGTGATAACAGTTATCCTAATGTGTCTAGCCGCTTTGATCTTACTATACGTTCCACCAACGTATAACATCGCACGTCTATTCAAATTCCCGTGTAAATGAATCACGTAAAACACAGTGAATGTCATTTACGAGAGATGCGTGTAATGGAACGGTTGGTCAATCATTCTTGTCTGAAATTCTTTTGTAAATGTAGGGTTTTGTTCGTGCAATTATTCTTGTTTGCTCTTAATCTTCTAATTGATTTAGTTGAGAGTTGGAAATCTTGGTTAATAAAATCCTGTTTCTTGAAATTGAACACTCTCTAATGCTTTGATTTTTCAATTTATCTTCAAGCTTCATAGCAATCTATGAAAATGTGGATTTGTGAGCAGCGAAGATGCATTTTTAAACAAAATGCCGATGCTTCCATTATAATTTCCTTTATACTTTTTTTTTGTTTTACATCGTTGTCATCTACATCGTCATCAAAATGTTTATTTCGATTTTCAATTGTTAATGAAATCAGAAGATTTTACGCTTTCCAGATAATTGCAGTGGCTAATCACTTACCTTCACGTCCACTACCGCAAATGTCCAATTGGACCCAAAATTCTTTTTTAGATGATAATAATTCCTATTATGCATCGCCAGTCTTCAAAACGTCCACATCTGGCTATGAGAAAGAGAATAAAGACGAGACCGCGCTGAATAATCAACCGTTTCCAACTTCTAAAAACGAGGTTCGTCTCTTACTATCTCTCTCTCTCTCAACCTTCGTAACTACTTTTATCTTTTATTTTGTTCGAAGAAGTATATTTTCCGTTTGAAATTGTGCTATTTTTGATTTTCAAGTATTTGGTTTCCCTGAAAATTCCGTTTTGATAGTTTAGTGAATTCAAGAAGAATGCACTACTCATATATATGGTCTATGAGTGTTTTTTCATTCTAAAACTTCAAATAATTGAATTTAGATTCCAGCTAAGGCGGCTCCGAAATTGCGCCGGAGTTCAACATGTCGTCCAACGAGCACTTTATACTTACCTTATAAGAAGAAGAAAAATGATTTAAGGTATCAGAAATGAAGAAAAAAATGAATTTATGGATAGAAAAGGAAAATATCTCAAAACAATTTGATTGAAAAACAATTTGTTTCCAACTTCTTAAGGCCTTGGCTGTGACAAATGATCCTTTTTTTCCGTCTCATAGCAGAACAGTTATAGGAATGGATAGAATTTCTCTTTATCTCACTTCACACGTTCCCACTTTCCCTCAACGTTTCTCAGATGTTCAATTGAAATCATAAATCATCGTTTTTAACCTTTCTCTTTTGGGTAAAATGGGTTCGTTTGCAGTTTCTTGCTTGCCTGAGACTTCGAAATGCAGAGTATCTTCACTTCTGTTTCTTTGCAAAGAGGAAGCAAGAAGAAGAAGAATACCTCGGCTTTGTTTTGCAACACACAAGTTGATTGAATGTTCTTAGTTTCCATTTTACGCTTTTCCTGATAAAGTGAAGAAAAAAAGAGACGAAAATTGTTTTTTCTTCTCCCCTCCCCTTCTTTCACAATTTCGGAAAGATCGAGGGAAAAGTTCAAAGCAACTTTAATTATCTCTCTGGATGAGTTCGCAATGAAGCCACTACTCTTCAGCCTCACTTTCATTCTTTCAAGAATTAATTTATTCTAATTATTTTGTATTAATTAATATCATTTTCTCTGTTCTTGAACTTAATATTAAATTAAGGAACTTGTTTTTTCCAGCTTTGTTCACTAGCCCTTGCTACGTTTTTTATGCTCCCTTGGGTGGGGGCAGCTATCTAACATTTTTGGCATTATCTCTTCTGTCATCTGAATAGGATGTCTGATTCAAGAACTCTGTTCCTTCCTTCAAGTCTATAGCTTAAAACTTCGTTATCTTTTTTTTTCGTTTTTCCTATCATCAATTTTAGAAACAATCCATCACATTGAGTATTGAGAGAAGAGAAGCAGATCTAATGCTTGTTAGACCTCTTTTTCGCCTTTTTTTCTCGAACTTAAAAATATCGAAAGCAAAAAAACGAAAAGATACACTTCTATTCCCTTACTACACAGACATCTATATGTTTATTCATTTTTCAAGCTTATTGGATTTATTTTACATCTTGTTGTGTCTATGCCTTCTTTCTTCGACTCTTTATAGCTTTCTCTTCTTCTGCTTTGGCTTCATCATCTTCATCATTTCACTTCTTCTCCTCCTTCTCCTCCTTCTTCTTCATCTGCATCTTGTGCTTCTGCTTCTTCTTCTTCTTTTTCTTCATCTGACGACAACTTGTCTTGTCTATCAGTCGAAGATCTATGTCTGTTTTTCTAGTATAACTTCAAACTATTTGTTCTTTCAAAAAGCTTGCTGCCTGAGCCAATCATCTGTTTTCCCTGTTTTTCCGAAAAGTCACTCATTTAAGGAATTGCCTCTTCGTGGCTTTCTATTCTTCCCACACTTCTTCACTTTGTGTTTGTTTCCTTTGCTGCTAAAAAATAATTTTTGCTTAAAACAAAGAGAAATTAGCTTTTCTTTCGTCTTCACTTTTGCCTTTGTATCCAGATCCCCTCAAAACATGCTATTGAATCTCAGGAAAATTGATTATTTTAGTTGCCCATCATTCCGAAAAGCATTGACGAGCTCATTAACGAAAAATATTTTGAGCTTTTCAGCTTTTTTCGAAATGTAATCTTCTGCTTCTTCTCGTTTTCGTTTTATTCGTTATTTTTTTACTCAAAACTTGAGTTCGCTAAGCTTCAACTTCTACGATCTCTGTATATTCTGATTATAAACAGCCTATCGCTTTAATATCTTCTTGTTTATACAACCCAAAACATTAATTGTCTTTTCAGTTTCTTCTTCTTTCCGACTCGAAAATATATTTTTGACTTTGCACAAAGTGTTTGAAGTAATATTCTTTGAGCAGAAACAGAATATAAGTATAACTTAAATCTGAAAGGCTTATCTTATCCAAGGACAATGACTACAAGATAAATAATGAAGGAGTCTTTAAATGGTAACACAGGCTGGCGTCAGTCTAAGAGGTAGTCCTCCATTGCGTGTATCTGATTGAAACCTGAAAAGTAGTTTAATATATTGAAAAAAATATTCGAACAAACCTGATGATTAAAAGCTAATTCCACCTTCATTGCAGTTGCTGTTTGCGCCCGCTGTCACGACTGGAAATTATACTTCTTGTGCTTCTTTCAATTCTGACTTTTTCCTTTATTGGCATTATATCATGTTGGGTCATATTATTTGATGGCTACAACTTACTCTTACAACGTATATCTCGAACACAGTACAAGTCATGTTCCTAATTTCATTTCTAGGTTGGCCATTATCTAGTTCCGGGAACATTTCTTCTTCTATAGGTGTAGATAAAACTGCCATTCATCATAATGATATCGTCTGTACTTCACGAGAATGTGTTCTATTATCTGGCTTTCTCGCCGGAAATCTGAATGATAAAGTTCTCAGTTATCTTAGAAGCTTTTTAAACTATTGAACAATAGGTTGATCCGTGTGAGGATTTTTATGAATTTGCCTGTGGCAATTACGGCTTGAACAGAAATCTTCCGGCTAACAAGCCTCTTCGTCACACAATCAGTGATGTTCAGTCTCGTCTGAATAAACAAGTCAAAAGCATACTACAGGTGATCATTTGATAGCTTTTTCCTCAACTTTAAAAGTTTAAGAAACAAAATATTACAGCTTCCAGTAAACGATCATGAGGCGAAATGGGATAAATTGGCGAAAAAATATTATCAAAAGTGCTTGGATGAAGGTAAGAGAAGCTCTAACGTTCACCAAAAGAGATTAAAATCATAACCAGATGAACTTGAACAAACAGGAAGCAAAGCTGTTCTTGAGGTTCTGGATTGGGTCGGTGGTTGGCCGACACTACAACGTATTTGTGTTTTGTTTGTATGATAATGATATTATTTTTGTGTAGACAATAATTGGACGGAATGGAATTATTCATGGGAAGAGCAATTGGCGATTGTAATGAACAAGACAGGCGTCAATGCGGTAATACTCGAGTTAGCTGTCACTCATGATCCATCAAACAGCTCGAAATCTGTTATTGAGGTATGTACACTGATTAAGTTGCATGATTGATTTCATCATGTTTTAGTTAGATCAACCAAAATGGGGTATCGGATCGAGATGGCCATATCTAGCTGGATCGGATGATCCTATGATCAAGAACTATACACATCTTATGAAGTTAACAGCAGTGGCCTTAGGTATAACTATTTGAAACCTAAGCTTATGTTTTCCATTTCCTACTTACTCAGGTGCGGATCCTGAAATAGCTGAGAGAGACATGGTGGAAGCTATGGAACTAGAATTGAAGCTAGTGAACTTCTCTGCTGAAGAAATGGTTAGAAGAGATCCAGAGAGAGGCAACAATCGCTATCAGCTATGGCAATTGAAAAAGCATTTTCCTCTGGTAATTTATTGTTTGAACCAGGCTATACGTTTTCTTTACTTGTTCAGATTGATTTTGAGAAGTATATAAGAAGAATTTTCCATGATCTCGTTGATGTTTCCCCCAATCATACTATCATCATTCGTGAAACGGAATATTTCTCTGGCATTCAGGTGTTCTTTGTAATCAGTAAATGTATTATTTATTCGTTTCAGCACATACTCAACTCTACGCCCAAGAGAGTTATAGCCAATTACATAGCTTGGAGAATAGTTCAAGGTTCGAAATCATTTCTCCATACTTCATGAGCGTGTTCAATATAGGTTTTTCACCATTCCTCCCTCCACGCTCCAGACTGCCTTTCTACCAGTTTAAAGCTAATCAAACTGGTATGTTCAACAGCCCTCCACCGGACAGGTTAGGTTCCAGCAAAATAACAGTAACTTTCTACAACCGTTTCAAGATGGGAAGACTGTGTGACCTTATCAGTGATAATGTTGGACATGCCTGTCGGAAAACTGTTCGTCGAGAACTTTTTCGAAAAACAAAAAGCTATGGAAAAGGTGAATTTTATTTCAATTTGGCTGAAAAAGTCGCAGTAAGAACTGGTTTCATGATATACTTATAGATGTCTGAGTTAACCACTTTCTTGAAAGCAGAATTCATAAAGCAACTTCATATTTTGGACTGGATGGACAACATTACAAGAAAAAGAGCAATAGAAAAGGTTATAGACTTTTTGATTTTTTTAACCAAGCAATGAAATAAAATAGAACCATCAAATTATGCCATCTAACTAATGATCTATAATAGGCTGGTATGATCGAATATAAAAACGGTTTTCCGGAACTATTGTTCAATAACTCTTGGATGGATGAGCATTGGGGAATGGTAAGACTATACACAATTTCTTGAGTATGTGAAACGTCTCAGGCTGTGATTGATGAGGAGCATCTTCTACATTTTACAATCCGGATAAAGCTTACTCGATATACTGAAGAGTTACTTCGACTTGATCAGACACTCGATAGGTATTTACCTGTTATCAGTTTCCAATAGAAAACATTTATTTGGAGAACTATGTGGTATCAAAGTCCTGCACAAGTGGATGCTTACTACGCACCAAACAACAATGAAATGAGTGAGATTCGGAAAAATATGAAGCTCTCAACCATAGACTGATTTTCAGTATTCCCTGCCGGAATCATGCAATTCCCGTTCTTGACTATTGGTGTTCCGAATTATATTACATTCGGAATGGTTGGAGCTGTTATCGGGCATGAAGTGTCTCATGCGTTTGATGATCAAGGTTTCAAAGAATTTTGTGATTTGGTATGAACTATTGTTGACAGGTGGACAATATGATGAGCTTGGGAATTTAAACGATTGGTGGGATGCCGAAACAGCAGAAAAGTTTGCTGAAAAAACGAGGTACGCTTCACCACGTAATTTCCACCAACCAGAACTATTTTCAGATGTTTCATCAATCAGTATAGTTCTGTGAAAGTTGAGGAAGCTGGAATTCATTTGAATGGACAACTGAGTTTAGGAGAAAACATAGCGGATAATGGAGGAGTGAAAACAGCATTCAATGTAAGTTGATATGGGTTCAACATATTGTATATACCATATCTTTAGGCATACAAAGCATGGAAGACTAACACAAGTGGTTCGGAGCCGGCATTACCAGGATTTCAAAACTATACAAGCGAACAGATGTTTTTTTTAGCTTACGCTAATGTGAGCTTGAATCAAGTATACGTAGAAACATTCCTAACATTTCAGAATTGGTGTTCAGTTGTACGCGCGAAACATTACATACAGATTATAATTACTGATGTGCATGCTCCAAGTAAATATAGAGCGATAATACCATTACAGGTTTGGAAGTTTTTTTTGAAACTAAAATTCTCGTAATACTATTCAGAACCGGCCTGAATTTGCTTCTGCCTTCAAATGTTCAGCAGGCAGTACTATGAATCCAGAGAAGAAATGCCAAGTTTGGTAGTACAGATGGTTTTGAAATGTTCTTGTTTCTCCACTTATGATCTCAATTTCTTTGAAGAATAAATATGACAAAATGTATGTGAACTGAAACATTCTACAGACAACGAAAACTATTTTTTTGTTAAGGCTTAGGCTTAGGCTTAGGCTTAGGCTTAGGCTTAGGCTTAGGCTTAGGCTTAGGCTTAGGCTTAGGCTTAGGCTTAGGCTT